CATTGATCCTTCAACCGGTAATCTAGATTGTACGGTTACAAATAAAACTTTTCAAGAATATTTTAAAACTTGGCATGTTCTTATATTTTTGGGTGTATTACCAATTTCTGTTACGGTCTTGTTTGGGTGCTTAGCGTATAGAAATGTACAAAGATTATCTTATCGAACATTACCTCTTGTTCGACGCGAATTAGATAAACAGTTAACAGTTATGGTACTGATTCAAGTTGTTTTTAATTTTTTTGCTATTTCACCATATACGGTTATAAATGCAATAATACTTGATCCACATATTGCAGAAGATCCAGTTGGAAATGCAATAGCATCTTCTGCTAGAATATTATCGATTATTTTACTTTATTCTTGCTTTGCAGTAAATATAATTAAATTTTAATAAAATAATTAATTCATAAATATTTATATCTATATATATATATGTATATATTTTAGAGTCCATTTTATATTTATATGTGTGGATCAGAACGATTTCGTCATCAATTGGTTTTTGTTCTTTACAAAATTCATCTTCAACGATGGCGCCGTCGAAATGTTGTTATCGATTTGGTAATTCCACAACAATAGAGTTTGTGAATTTTTATGGACAATCTTATATATTTTTCTTTGTTGTCTATATATTTGCCTATTATGCTATTTAATAATCATAATTATACGACATGTGACAATTCTGCTGTACAAAAGAAACTTCATCTTTCCTAGAAAACACGTGATTACACGATGTCTGTGAAATGTCTGCTTAATTGCATGGAATAATTATAATAATTTATCCGCTAATTTTACACATCCAGTAGAGTTTTAGACCATATAACAAGGTTCAAGTTATTCATTATTACTAAATCCATTAACGCAGTGAATCTGAAAGTACTTTAAATTCATGTTATTCAATCAATTCAAATACTTATCTATAAAAAGAAGATTTGATAATGTTTGCTTCTGTTTCTAAAAAGTGATTTTTTTCAAAAATTGTACATCATTCGGAAACTATGATGCAGTTCAACAATATTATTAACAGAATGGTTTTTGTCAACGTGATATTATTTCAGGAAAGTTCTCAAAAATGAGCAATATCTGAAAGTCGTTCTGCTAAAATCCATAGCTGAAATACTCAATTCATCGGTCGAATTGAGTTGACTGATCCAGCTGTAATCTAAAGATATTCAGGTCATGATTTTGTACTAAATGGTATGTAAAGAAATGATTGCTACGTTCATGACTCCAATTGATAGAATGTACACTGATACATTATGAGCATAGATGTTTATGCTAGATCTATGTATCATGTAAGCAATGAGTTCAAACAGTGTATAGTATTATGATAACATTAAAAGACAATATAAATATACGAGTATAATTGATGCAGCTCTAACGGAGAAATCTAGCGAAACATTACAAAGTTCATCACGAGATTTCGTCATGTAAATTTAGTTTTTCTCGACAACCAAAAAGAAATTTCTTTTTTAAATTAAATTAACAAATCTGAATTTTTAAAATTCATTTAATTCATAGATATTATGGAGTATTTCTCCATTCAATTCAACTCAACTCATGAATTATAAGTGTTCTTCTTCCAGTTCAATTCAAATTAATTCATAAGTCTTTACCACATGCCTCAATTCAATTCAATTCAATTCAATTAGTTAATGAATTGAACTGAATTGAGTTATCTCACTCTGCTGAAATCTGTTATTCATTTTTTGAAAGATCTATAACAATGACAAGATTAATGGGCACAATTTTTCTGTGTTCGAGTTCGCTTTAATGATCTATCAATAGATCAGAAGAGGGTGTCATTGTCTACCTGAACAGGTTGTAATTATTAACTTTAGTTCAAGCTTTAATATTTTCTATTATAGTTGATTACATACTTGATATATATGTTGCAATGTAGTCATTATACATGTACTTATGCAAAATTGTTAATAATCATACGATAATTAGAACCTTATGGTTAATATATACATATATATCTGTACTTTACAGTAGAGAGTAGTGGTGTAACCAGAATATAATCGGTGGTTAGGTACCGTCCTAACAGTTTTAAAAGGTTATCTAATAGGATCCTTTTCCGATCCTCAATTTTCATTTTTTTCAGTTATTGACTTTTTCTGTTCTATATATGCTTCTAAGTGTTTTCTATCTATTAAAAACGTTTCTATAATTCAAATTTAGCAATAAAGTTAAAAAATTCGAAAAGATAGAACGCTGTCTATGTGAAAACGGTTAAATCGTTTTCGATCTGTCGAGTTCTCTCAGAACCTAGTTTTTACACAAAAGCTCATAGAATCACTTTCGTTTCTCAGACATAGTACATATAGTCAAGCTGAAACGTATTTTACAGATGCTAGAAATACTTTGAAAGGGCTACTTTTTTATTTTAAAAAATATTGCATCACCGATTTTTGGCAGATTTTACAAAATGAGATCTGTTGAAGAAAACGTACATGTTTTAGTGTGCTCTTCATATTTTGGTTCTTTTATTCGAATAGAACGAGATAGAAAGAAGCAAAAAAAAACCATACGCACTCCAAAATGTTTGCAGTACTTGCACAAAAATTTGAGTTCAATCAGCCGCATTGTGGATCAGAAAGCCGGCCGATAAGGAGGACCATTTTTAGCCCTTGCGACCTCAGTATCTGACAGCAGAAAGCATCCGAGAATTTTGGCATTACGACAACTTTTATTCTACTCATTGATTTCTACTTCTCCTTAAAATTTCAAATTTTTCTGATGAACTGTTCTCCAAAAATACCGGATAGGTTAGAAAAGTCTCCTTAAGGTAAGGGTAGTGATTTCTGCAGCTGCAACTGCCCTTGACGTTGGAAATGGTGATCGAGATTCAGAATCTTCGTCTATTGAACAACAGGCTGTTTCATGTGATTCTGTTGAGTGCAGAAATTCACCAATGGTCGAAGCAGAAGTATCAGCTTTCTTTTTCTAGAAGAGTATGAATCAGATAACGACTCAGTAGTATCATGTTTGAATTTTTTAGCATCGGATTGCATTTAACAAGAACCCTGTTTTTTTTCTTACGAGAATCACGAAAGTGTTTGTGTATATCACTGGTTAAATGCATATGTAAGGAGACAAATTATTTGTGACATGATAATGTATCAATCACTATTATCACTGCAGACCCCTCGTTATTCCGAGAGATAAGTTACGATTAGTAATGTGTCCAACTGATTTAGTCTAAACTCAAGAAGAAAAAGGTGAGAGTGCAAATGTCTCGTGGAATTTCCTTTTATCGTTCTAAAAAAACAATGACTTTTTAAAAATAAATGGTGGTTGGACACTGCCAACCTTGCCCTATCCTGGTTACGTCACTAGTAGATAGTCAATGTTGATAATAAGGAATTCCATGTATTTATGGTTTTGATTGTATCGCATTAAATACAATAGCAAGCATCTCCGATATAGTAACAGCTATAAGATTGATTACACAATAAATTTTACGTCATGTTTTTTTCTAATAAGTAAATAATCAATGCAGCGATGTCAAATGTATCCGGAATGGCGTAAACCGAAAGAAAAAAGAATGTCAGTTTGCCCTTTGTGATATTCCGTCTTAGTTAAATAGAACATAACTAATAATTTGCTCTTTAGAGCTGAAAAACTCTATAAACGAGAGTATATTTTGATTTGACGACGTTCCTAGTCAAACTTGTTTTTCATGTGTTTGACATTCACAGACCTCAGGATGTCTCCATTTCATATGATTTTCTTTCCATAGACAAATGCGTCGGTGCTTGTATAAGTTATATGCGTAGATCAAGCAATTTATGCGCAGAACTTATGAAAATTATATGAATGAAAACAGTTGAAACAACCAATTACAATAAAATAATAATAGCTTTTCGGTCCAAGATAAAATAAGGCTCATTATCTCTTAGAATTTCTGAATCTTGTAGTTATTTATATAGCTTCTATTTTTGCTGTACTTCTTATGGTTTGGGTTGTTTAAACTATGCATTTTTTATAAAAAATGAATTATTTTGAAGGTACAACTGAGAAGACCTGTAGAATTCAGAATTTTATAGGCTTTTCCATATTAGATAATGAATCAAGCGTGATAAGATTGCATCATCATTGTTACGTTCATATCCATTGTTGAACTGAAACAATTCTAATAAACGAGAAAGCTATCAAGAATATTAAAAAATCCAGCAGAATTTTCTTGAAATGCTAATTTTACCATCACAAATTAAACTCTGTCATATATATCTCTTCGGAAAATAAAATTCTTCTAAGAATTCAAAATAAATCAGCAGAACTTGAATAGTATTCAATATATCTTAGTAGAATATATAATTATCTATAACTCATTCTTATTCACAAAAAAGTTTCGATAAGAATTTTATTAAACAGACTGATTCGTAACAAAATCCTATAATCCATGACAAAACATAATTGCTATCACACATATTTTTCCCTTCTCTAAGCATAAGTCTGCTAAGAGCTCAAACACTGCCAGGTGAGTATATTCACAGTAATATTTACAATATTCATCTTTCGTATACTGTNATCTCCCTCTAGGCAAGCCAACTGCCGCTAATATTTTAACCTTGTTAGTTTGGCGTTGAGAGCTTTCATTTGACCCGAACATGTGCCACTTTTTCGCTCAACAATACACATACCTCCATTGTGAGTCATTCTCTATTAGTGTTTCATGGAAAACCATACATAAATATCAGATTATGGCCGTGATCAAAGTAAAGTCATTGAGATGTTACAAATAGACAATAGAAAATTGAAGAATGGTTGTACAATTCAATTCAACTTTTCACGTTAGACACTACTGCAAACATTTTTTGCTTAAACAAATTGACGAATATATGTCACCATCGATAAAAAAGAAAACAGTACAAAGTTTTTTTTTTCCAGTATGAATTAATACTTTTGATTATTTATTTGCATAATTAACGAATAATACAGATTAAAAAAAAGTCAATCAATTGAAATTTTGTTTTTTTTTTACGTTTGATTTAAATGATATTAAATATCTTTTTTAATTCAATTATTAATTCCCAATCTTTCTTTTGCATTTCGTCACGAAAATAAGCTTTAAGAACATCAATTGATTCTCGAGATATCTAAATGAAGAAGAAAAAAAATTTCTTTCATTTTAATTCAATGGTTCACTTGTATTATCTTACTTTACTCATTAAAATATCGTCTTTATCAAAATGTCGACCATACATTTTTGGTGTTTCACTCGTTGTTGATTCAATTTTGATACATACTTCAGAACCTTTTCGTGCCATATCTAATGATTTATGATTCATTTCAATGCTGACAACTCGACCAAGATCAATGCACTAAATTGATTGTAGTTTTTACATTAAAAATAAAACTCCTTAAATAATTTTAATACATACATCTTTCGATGGAACACATATTGGCGTACCTAATTTAATACATCCATCTTCAACTAATACACCACAAATAATTGGATCACGCTTATTAAATACATAATGTGGTAAAATCTTTAATTTACATGGAAATATAGCCAGATGTCGATGTTGTTCTTGATTATCTTTTTTAATTTGTTCTTGATAGGATACGAACATGTCATATAAACGATATATTTCATCATGCCACAATATTTTTACACCTGCATAAATAACAAAGAAAAAATATACATCTATACTCAATTTTAAATGAAAAAAGAAAAAAACATCACGGTCTATATATACCAATAGCATTCGCATATTCTTGAGCATCTTTTTCAATTTTTACATCAAATGCCAAAATAGTTGCAAATCTAATTAAAAGAATATGTTAAGAAAATGAAAAACAAACTAGTTATCTCAAAATTAAAAGAACGCCAACTTCTTGAAAAGTTTTCATTTTCAGAAGCTATTTCTGAGGAAACCGAGCATGCTTTAGAGAAGAACTTAAAATATTTTATCAATTCGATCTCGATATTTGGATCTCGTGTTTCAAGGACTATTTTCGGAGTTTTGGTTCTCGAGATCATTGCGTCACAAAATGACAAGTTTTGATGCGAACGTCTAGAAAGGAAAAAAAAGGAAAAAAAACTGGCGACACGATTGTATAAAGTGCTTCGCACCTTAAAAAAAGCTCACGGCGAACCACATGAATGCTGTGCTTTCGCGCCGTATTAAAAAAGCAAGAAATCAATTTTAGAGTGAAACTCCAGAAATGTTTCTCTTGAATATGTTTTCGTTCCATGTAAAGCATGGGTTTCCATCAATCGTTATAACTGGAAAGTTGCATTTTTCATCAATTAGCTGATCGAAATTTGATGTAAGCTGAAAAGTAGCCATTATAGAGTTCATCACTGTGAGAACTCTATCAAAGTCTGTCAATATTCTTCTCAAGAACATTATCGATTGATCGTTTAATTATCTATATGATTCATTATCTGTCATCATCTGTACTTACAGCTGTTTCATATTTGTGCAAAGAGAGTGACGCCTAACTTTTGTTTTAATTACCGCAAAGCTTGAAAGAAATTAAAGTTCTGAAAAATTTGTCTTTTTTGGACCCTATTTATATGCAAATAAGACATCATAACGAAAGTTGAATGAAAGGAGGTTTAGGTTCAATCTCGATACTTTCACCTCGTGCTTGAACGAAGATTTTCTGACTTTTGGTTTTCAAGATCACTACTGCACAAAATGTGAAACAAATTTGCGTATGTCTAGCTAGATATAAAGAAAGAAAAAAAAAAATAAAGAAAAACTCACGACGCGGTCCTATAAAGTGCTTCGCACCGCATTAATTAACTGAACAAAAATTTTGAAATAATTTTCTTTACTTACTGTGGATCTTTTTCGAGTTGAGTTGATGCTCGAATAACATCTTTTCGATGTACAGGTCCAATATTAATTCCAGAATACTAGAAAGAAAAAGAAAAATATTCTCTTTCCGTTGAGTATATTAAGAAAAATTTTACTGGAATAGAATATGTTTTTAAAAGTTGAAGGAAACCTTCTAATGAACCTAATGCTGATGCTTGAACATAAACACCTTTTTCTTTTAATTGAATTGAATTGCGTAATGTTGTTAATATCATTTTAATTTCGTTTTTAAAATAATCAATTTCATCTGTTTGTCGAGGAACAAATAATGGTAAACCAGCCATTGATTTTTCTAAATCTGCAGCAAGAATTTTAATGCCGCGTGTACCTTTTATTTTTTCATGAGTTTGATACTGATTCTAAATAAGAATTGAATAAAGAAATAAACATATATTAATTAATCGAGATGATTTACTGTAACACGTAGTTCTTGATTTGATTCAGGTATAAGAAGTCTTCGAATTTGAGTAACAATAGGACCTTCTTGACCAGCAATAACTATTTTATCACCGACAGACAAATATCCATTAACAAGAACAATATCAATTGCTGTACCATGACCATCATTTGATTTTACCTATTTTATAATCAGAAATAGTCTTTTTTTTTTATTTCGAAAGAGAGATTCTATTCGTGGCTTGGCAGAAGAAAAAATAAAAATTTTTACAAAGAGAAACTCATTCATTAAAATATATTTAAGTTTTATCATCTTCGTATGAGAAAAAATATTTGATAGAAATCAATTGATTTACATTTGTTCAAAACGAGGATTTAGTTTTATGAAACTTGCATATATTTTTCGAAGAAAATAGTGAGTGAAAGTTTTAAGTTGAAGTTTTGCAGTTCCTCACATCCTTCTGCATCCATTACAGATCTTAGCAACCGGAGTTAAAGGTCATTAAATAATTTTCCATAGCAACCACAGGTGTAAATCAATCGCTTTAATACTAGTGTCACTGATGCTATCCATTTTAAAATATAAGCTGCTCTACTGTTTTTTTTTGCATAACTTCTGAGAAGAGCATCAAAGAGACCTGCACTTTTTGCCAATCAAGAGAGAATACTCGTTGTGGAAATTCAGAAATATTGAGATAACAGAGCCAGATCATTTCGAATTTAAAACTAAATATCATCATTCGAGTGAGCATGATGAATTAGCTCTACCTAGTTGAGTTTCAGACTGATCACTTGTCAATTAGTTGAAACAGAAGCCCCGGAAAAAGTCTTATAACTCTCGAATGGCTAAAACCGGAAGTCTCTATGATGCTTTTATCAAAAGTTATTCAAAAGAAACTATGGAACACATTATATTATCGAAATGAATAGCAGTTACACAGATAAAAGTAAGAAGTTTGTGTAACAAACCACATTGCCTGAAATTTTAAGATCAATGAGAGAAGCACAACAAGAGAAAGTGTGTGGAATTAAGGTACTAATTTGTGCAGTACTAAGCCTTTTTTTTATAATATCTCATGAAATTTAATTTTACTGTTTTATCAGAGATAGACAAGTAAGAGCATGTATTAGTATTCGAGAAAATTCGTACTTCGCTAGTTCTGTGTTTTATCAATATAGCTTTTCAAAAAAAATTAACATGAGATAAAAAAAGTAACTAACTTCCATAACAGTTGCTTGTAATTCATCAGTATATGATAAACGTTTAGTTAATGCTGTTTGGCATTTTTCAATAATTAATGCAATTAACGAACCCATTCCATCACCGGAACGTGCTGATGTTGGTAACATTGAATAAAATTCATTTGGATCTGGATTTTTATAGTACAGAGCAACATTGAGATGCTTAAGAAAATAAAATAAATGTGTTTTATTATATTAATACTTTTGAAAATTTTTTTACTTGTTTAGCAAATTGACAAATAATATCATTGCAACGTTTTTCAAAATGATTTTTTGTTATTTGACTTTGCTGTTGAAGAGTTAGTTCAATATTTTCTGTATTATTACTTTTCCAGTCATATAATAAATCAATCTAAATAATTTTTATAAGAATATTTTATAATCATTTATTTAAATAACTGACTAATATACCTTATTAAGAGCAATAATAAATGGTGTTTGTTTGTTAGTTAATAATTGAATTGATTCAATTGTTTGTGGTCCTAATCCATACATTATATCAACAACAAGAATAGCCAAATCGCAAAGAGATGAGCCACTTAATCGTAAGTTTTTGAATGTTTCATGTCCAGGTGTGTCAATAATCAGAAGACCTGGAACAATAAAATCACCTTGTCGTGATATCATTTTTCGGTACAGTTTAGTTCGTTTATAAATAGTTTCTAATGGAACATTAGTTGCACCAATTTGCTGGGTTATACCACCAGCTTCATTATCTTGAACATGTGTTTCACGTAGATTATCTAAAATTGTTGTTTTTCCAGCATCAACATGACCCAAAACACAGATAACTGGTGCTCGAAGGACTTCAACCGAACGATGACTTTCACATAGTTCATGATATTGTTCAAGACGACGACGTACACGTTCCATAGTTGATAATGATTGATCATTTTCGTCTTTATCATTGTCAATTGAATCAGACTCGGAACTTTCTTGACTCGTTGTTAAATGAGTATTGACTTGAATTTGATGATCATTATTATTGTCTACATATGAAAAATCTTTTTTTTTAATTATCTACATGTAATTTGGTTCTATTTAGAATTATTATTATTATGTTAAATTAATTTTGTTTCTCTAAAATAATAAGGAAAATAAATCGATTACCTTCTATTATTGTCAGACTTTGAAGTATTTCACTACTCATATTTGCTTCTTCAGAATTGAATTCCCAGTCATTCGTTGAATTGTTGTTTTCCTATATTATACACATGTTCACAATGATACAAGTATCGTTTCATTGAATAAAATCTTACTTCAACTAACGTATTGGTCTGTGATTCAATTGATACTGCAACGGATTGCATGGAAGAATTTGATGCTAGAAAAAATTTAACAAACAAATCAAATAATCAGAAAAAAAATGAAAGAATATACATGTTTTATTTATTTTTCGTCGATCATCATAGAGTATTCCCTTTCTATTTGATTTGTCATTATTAGACGTTGCTGATTGATAAACAGGATGTGTCGGTATTTGAATATTAGTTTCTCCAATACAAATTTGTGTATGTCGGCATTTATTTCGTTGTTTTCTAGATAGATTTAGACCTTCTTGTCTTTGTTGTTGAATACTTTTTTTTTCTCGGTGTTCTTCTTCTAAACGTTCAAGTTCTTCTTGCAAACGTTGCTCTTCTCTCGCTTTTTCTTCAGTTTCCCTTCGAGCATCTTGAATTTTCCTTATAAAACTTAACTAGAAAAAAAAATTTCATTTATTATTAGATAATATTTCAAATATGATGTACTGTTTTCGGACTAGGACCACTTTTCTTTTTAATTTGATGTTTTGAAGATATTTTCGTTTCATCATTAGCAACACTTGATAGCTCACCTGAGTCAAGAAAAAGAAAAATAGAAATTTTCTCATGAAATATTATTTATTTTGAACCTTGATGATTATCAGTTATATTCGTAGTCAAAGTCGTTACATCTTGGTCATTATCTTGTTTTATATTTCTTGATATTTCATTCGATATTGTCACCACTTCATCATTGTTATTGTTTTCAGCTTCGAAATTTTCATTTGGAGAAACTATAATGAATTCAGATTCGATGATATCTTCAAGATCTTTGTCATTATTGGTATCCTTGGCAACATTTGTTGGTCTAAATTTATCGAATGAAGAAAAGAAAAGTTTATATATATATTTAGAGCAATTTTACTTGGAAATCGACTTTTTCGTTTGTTCGGTAGACATTTGTATGTAGCATTCGAGTAGGCGTTGATTTCAATAAAAATCGGTACATAATAGTACTGAAAAAATTGGAATATAATATCTTAGTTGAAGAAAATTCGCTTATATAGCAAAAGAAGAGAATTGCGTAAGTTTTTCTGTTCTTCGCAAAGGATAAGGCATGACTAATGTCAATATATATTTCGAAATTTCAATGATTTCTCCTCTTCTGAATTAGTATCAGTAGTGGCAGTTCAAGCAGCCCATCAAGTCGAATTAAGCTATTTTTGTCATTTTTTTGTTTTCGGTTTATTTTTATAAATGACTCTAACAACAAGTTTTCATGCACAAAAATAAAATAAGGGTTGGCTGTAGAAAGAACGAAAGAAAAAATGTTGAAATTTTTCAACTAAAAAGACATTCTTTATATTTTGGTATAATACTTACATTTTTACATATATCATACACAAAGTCAAGAAATAAAAAATAGAAATAAATCAGTGTCATTTTTTCGTTTAGCAATTGCCAATGACAAGTCATCTAAATATGTATTCCATTACATTTATAAGATCATCATAATATCATTTACCAAGTTTATCTATATGAGATTTACTCTTTCATAACATTCACACACACTTATCTTTTGTTTTTGTGTGAGTGTAAATGTGAATGTTCATCGATCATTTTAATCAATTAATCATTCGTATATGGATTTTTGGTGAACATTTAATATTTGGTAGCTGTTTTTACTTTCTCCAATTTTAAAATGTTTTTTTATCTGATATAAACAAAGGTTTTTCTTTTTGTGACTGAATAAATGGAATAATTGGCGATGATGGATGACTCTTATCTAATGAAGATGAAGTTCCTGTAACCATTATAGTAGATTTTCCATTATATAATAATGAGAAAAACAATAATAAACTATAGAGGATGAATCAGCATTTACGAAAGACATCACTTTTTTTCAATAGTTTTCTATTATGGATAGTGTTTCTTTGGGTTCTTCTGCATTACACAAAATAAGAACAGTCATATGTAAAATAAAGTGATACAGTTATTACAGCCTTATCAACAAAGTAAGAGCAGTAAGAACAACTCTTCTCTTCCACACGGTTCCATAAGATAGTAAAAAAACAACGGTAAGTTTGATAAACCAAAACCTAAACTTAAAGGTGTTTACAAGCAAAACGATATTATTTCAAAATAAAAATTAATGTCTTATTGAGCTTGGAAAATATTAACTTGTGTACAATTTGAATAGTGAGATTTTATTAAAAGAACGCTTTGAGAAAACAAACATTTAGCTGATTCTAATGTAACAGGAATACACATGATTTTTTTAGCAATTTTATTAAGATATTTATATGAATTTCATTTTTGGAAAAATAGCATCACTGGTTGTCAAGAAATAGTGAATTTCAAAATGAAACTAATCTTGAAATCCATGTGTCAAAATTATTGTAAATTTCAGATTTTCTAATTCCAAAAATAGCTAACAAATCAGAAATTTACTGTCTTGACGGTGGATGAGAGTAAAAGTAAACACTAAGTTTGAGAATGATTGTACGAGTACGTCATTGAAGTAGAGCGAATAGTCGCTGTCGCCTTAATCGAAACAATACTAACAAGAGCGAAATTACATTTTTCATTTTTTATCTTTGATTTCTGATTTTTTGCTATTTTTCAGAAGTTATTTTTGTCAAAAATCAGAAATCAGCAATCAGGAACTTGGTAAAAGTTCGTAACAATTTGAGATTTGCCACGACTTCCACACAGTTGTCAAGTCTAAGTCAAATTAAAGTTTTTAAATAAATGTGACTTGAGTCCAAACAGTGACTCGGACTTGCCCAGCTCTAATTAATATGCTGTCAAACCGTGAGTCATATTTTGTTAACAGACTATGCTTCAGTTTTGCACTAGATTTCTGGTTTTGAAGCGATGGCTTCCAAAAAGATAATTTAGGTATAAAACAATTCTAAATTTAGTTTAACATTGAATAAGACACTTTCCTGTAACGAGCGAATTTTTATAAATATGTGTTTTAGACTGCAAATGTTTTCCTTGTGATACTCCTTGAAATTTTCACTAAATTAGTTCTTGATAGAATAACAAGATTGAATTGATGTCCTTAATGAACACACATATCATAGTTATGTTTCTTTTTCAATTTTTGATGTATTCACTACCTCAAGATATCATCTGGATGTTGTGGATACGAAATGCATCTACTAATAATCACAAGAAAAAAAAATCTTTTAATCTATATAACAGTCTACTATATGTTAACAAAGCAACTTCCTAGGCTTGTCACATGTAATAATATGAGTCAATATTATGTTTTGCATTTATTTGGATGTAATCATAAGATTTTTTTTCTCTCATTATACGCTTCACTTGTTTTTTGTTTTCTCGATGATTAGACTTGTGTTGGATTTTTCATTTCCTTCTACTCTTCTTTCTATCATGTTGTCTTATGGATTTTCTCTTTTCTTGTCATTATATTTTTTAGTTGTTGTAAAAACAGAGAGATATACAGAAATAAACTACAAGAAAGATATAGATCTCGTAATCACCATTAAACATATTTTGCTTATTTAAAAAGCACATTACCCAGTCATATTTCTTTATAATTGAAAAACAAATATATAAATATAGTCGTATGTGTAAAAAAAACTAAAAGTGAAAAAAAAATAACAATGAGTTTTGATTAGCATACATTCATAAGCCTAGTTTTTGTTAGTAGACACCTGTTTATTTTATTTAACTTTGTCGCCAAGTCAGAGGATATATCTTGACTAAAATTGTATGAGACTTTTGCTACATGTATATTTTACTCAGTGGATTTCGTATGGTATTATAAATACATTTAACCGAAAAACGAGGTAACAAAGCTGTAATAAGAATAAATAGATTTGTAAACCAAAATCGGCCTTGTCGAAATGTTTGAAATGATACTCTATATGGATTTTCAAATACAGTACATGCAACACAAACAGCATCAAATATAAGTGTAAAAACAAGAAAAACAAGAAAACTTAATATTGTAGAACTAATGACTGACCAATCAATGCGTGATGTTTGTATAAGAATATGTAATAAAGAAGTTGTCATCATACTAAACGTAAGCGAAAATCCGAATGATAATACATCGATATCTGATTGATGTTGATAAGAATAATAACTGATAAAAAAAATAATTGTACTTTGCCATACTGCATCAAAAAAATTTATCCAATAAGAGTGTATTTGATATGATTTTCCATTAAGTGTATATTGATAAAGTTCAGGTTCACGTAAAGCTCGTTCAGCTGATATATGTTCATCAAATAAAGCGGCAGCACACTAAAAACAATAGATGAAATTCATTTATTAATTTGAATATTCTTACCTGAGGAAGAACACAAAATAAACTTGTATAGAGAATAAGATCTACAATATATATCAAATTTTTACAAATATTGATTAAAAATATTTTTGAAAAAGTCATCTCAATAATCCAAGAAATGAAATCCTATTTTGCTTTATTTCAGATTACTGAATACTTGAATTTTTTTTTGAATTAAGTATTTAAATAATTCCTAATCTTTGAATCCATTTTCTCACTGTTCAATGAGCTGTAAACGATCATATACTTAGATGCAATAATTGAAATGACTGAAATTTGCTTTTATGGAAAAACTTTCCATCGCAGTCTCTACCGGACTAATATGTGACATACGATGTAGCTACTCTTTCTAATCACAAAAAGATTTTTTTTATCCTATCTTTTTGGGACACATTTCTTGATCATTCTTTTACTTAATCTTCCACAAATGCAATAAAGAAACAGTTTATATATTAGAGCGAAACAGCAGTGGCCGAGTTCTGTGAGTTTTGAACTTCTGGAACTTTCAAAAGTGTAATTTCACTCATAGAATTCTTGGCACTCACGGTACCCTAAGAATTCTTGGACCTCTCGTTAGGGTGTGAGTGTAGGCGTTAGTTTTGGTTCTCTCTATACTCAAAGCCATACACGGTGAAGTATCGTAGTTCACTTGTATTTCACTAATACTTCGGAGTACCGGAGTCTCTGTTTTCTCCCTTGAGTATCTTACATTCAGAAATTTGAGATACTAGAAATACCAGAAGAGATGACGAATATACGGTACAATCTTTTCTGTTGACATTCAAATATGAGTTACACTTGCATTTCGAACTACAGAAATCTCGCTTTTTCTCCCTTGAAGATACAACTACAATTCTTTGAAATATGCGTGTAAGCGAAACATGATGATGTCAATTTCGATTGAAACACTAGAATGGTGTGTTACCTAAATTTCAACAAGTTTATAAGTTCTTAGGGTTACTTCAGTTGTTAGACTTAGTTAAGCTCCGAGATTTTCCTAAGTTCCATGAGTTCAGAACTCACGGAATCCGGACATTTCTGACAAAGTTCTCAGTGAGATTTGTTGATTGGGCAAACTTTAGCTTTTCTAGTACTTTCTTTCTGAAGATACAAATAAATAAATAAAATTTGCTTTTTTTTACATAAAAGAATATTAATTTTTGATATCTGATAATCGGAAGATACTAGAAATTTGAATATTTTCACAAGGAACGAGCCTTATTGATGTGACGATTTTAGATAGAAGAAGAGCAAGCGTTGATGGAACTACGCTTTATTGTGTTTCTTCTTATCAAGGATCGCATCGTCTACATACAAAACATACGCTTATATACTGATCAACGAGAGAGAAGGAATGAATATGAAAAGAAAGGACAGCAAGAACGAAATAAGTGCAATATGATAGAGGCAAAGTACAACACGATGTACGAAGTAAGGACAGAAAGATAAGAGCAATACATAAGATGAGAAGAGATAGTAAGAAGAGGAAAATATCATGCATACAATGCACTTTACCAGCACGTTACAATAATATTATTAATCAAATGTATCATAATTCCATTTTCATCGGTCTCAAAGAGATTCTTCATATGATTAAATTAAATTGATAAATTCAATCAAACAATTGATTATTATTTGAAAAAGTTAGTAAATGACATATTGGACAACCTTAAATAAATAAAGGATCACATTTTAAATAGTTTAAGTCAATATCAACAATAGATCGACATGTGCTAAATGCATTTAAAGATTCTCAATCATAATGATAAAATTCAATTAAATGTAAATGTTATGGATTATTAGCTGAATGAATATAGTCAATCAAGATGGAGGGATAAAACACGAAGATTATATTGCTTTAAAGACAATAAACAGTTCACTGAACAGGAAATAGCTGTTTCACAGTCATTAGTGACGCTACTAAAGCGAACAATAATATCTGATTGTGTGGAAAATATGAAATCATAACAAATATAAGACATATAAATGTGAAAAGAAATTTATTTTAGTTTATCGTATGAAAACAAAATGAAAATGGACGGAAATTTTCGGTCATAATACGACCATTATTAACTACGAAAACCAAAACTTGTTGGCACAATCAAAAAAAAGACAAATCATTAATGGTAAAGTAAATCCTATTGTGTTATTACAGAATGATAGTGATAGTTAATGTTATTGATCGGATTATAATAATTACAATTTATTTTATGGATTTAATTTCAAGTTTACAATGTTATATATGGTTAATATTATTACTTCGTCATGTTTGTTCAATCATTTACTTTACTATTAAAGTTTTTTTTTTTGTTCTACCAATAAGTTCTGATTTTTCTTGGTTGATAATGGTCGTATAATGACCGAAAATTCCCGTTCATTTTCATTTTCTTTTCATATGATAGACTAAAATAAATTTCTTTCTATATTTGTATGTCTTGCATTTGTTAGGAATTAGATCTCAAGATAGATACTTATGTTTCTCATACAAGATGGAATCATGCTGAAATAAAACAAATATAAAAAAATCACGTATAAATGCGAGAAGTTTTTTTTTTACAAGGTCATCAAATAACATAAACATGAAGTGATCACTAGTGCCAAAAAAATGAAAATCTTAAATTCATCTAGGAATTTATTCATATTCAAATCATAGTAAATGATTATCTACTAGAGCTGGTCGGCGGGTCTGAAATTTTTGGATCCAAATCCTATTGCATTGTACTTTGATACTTTCAATGAAACACGTCACACATGTCTCAAACGAATAGAGCTCGCCGAGTCTGGGTCTGGATATGGGACCAACCCGATGGACTTCACTGGGTAGGAAATCGATCCTAGTGGTTCATCGTTTTTGAGCGAATATGTTGAGTATATAGTGATGATATCGAGATTAAAATAACTACGCTAGAATATGGATGCGTAGATTTTCTCAACAAGAGCCATCAGAATTTCACTGGATTTTTTCCATAAGATGGGCTGTGGACAAAAAAATTAAGAAACCGATTTTTTACTTAAAACTTTTTCTATAAATCGGTCTCATGATCATGAGAAGATTTTAAAAGTTTTAGTTTAAATGATGGCATCCTATTTGAAATATTGTATGTTTAAAAAGTCGTGATTTGTTTTCAAAATTTTTGGATTTTAAACGGTTTTTGAACATTCACTATCATTTAAGAACAAGCGATCATTTGGATTGACACTTTAAATGGTTTCTTAGGATGATGAAAGCTACTTATAGACAACATTTCAGATAGAAAGTTCTGTATTGAATTTTCTTGCTAGCAGCAAGTGATATGGCGAAAATCCAGCAACACTTTCTTAACACTATATAGAAGATCTATGGATTCGAATCATTTTAGAATTATTCTAGTTAGAGATCGTCACTATATGTTCAAAATGTGAGTTCAAAAGTGATAAATCACTTCGAGCGGTTCTCTGATCAGCTATGCTTTTCTGTTCTTGTTTTTTTCTAATCTAACCACTATAAAGAAAAACGATTGATGCAATTTTTTCTATTTTTTCTCGAGATTATTTTTATTAAACAATACTATCGTTTCGATAGATGTCAAAGTTTGTCTGCTTGAAAATCTCGGTTTCATCTAGAAATTTTATTTTTTATATTTAATTATTTAGTACATTATTATTTGGAGTCTGAATTGCGAACATATCAAACAGAAAACAAGATCGATTCAATTCATCCAACGCTAGAACTTATATCGCAGTAGGGATATGCAGTTTGGATGAAAATACCGAAATATGGACTGTGATTTACTCACAGTGAGTGTGCTGATTACACGAGATCGATGTGTACTAAAGCATTGGCATACCCATACGGTATGGAGTTGACAGATAAATCAGAGAACACCAATCTGATGTAGTCAGTGAACGTCAGTGTGAGTTTTTGGTGAACAGTTCACTAAAAATGTACATCACTATATCACAGTTTATTTAACAATAAACTGAATGATTATATTCCAGAATAAAGTCACAGTGTAAAATTTAATATTTATAAATTAAACAAAAAATATTTATTTTCAAAAATAAATCATTTTGTAAAATATCCATACAGTTTCACTGTTCTGTCACAAAAAGAAATAAAGAGTTTTATTGTTGAAGGTGTACACGATCTCCATGATGATCGAGTTTAATAATAATCTGCCATGGCAATGGAGATTGATCTAGATCAATATCAAGTTCGTACTTTTCATTTATCTGTTTATTGTTCAATGCAATCTTTAAATTGACACAATCAATTTCAATTTCAATTTCAATTTCAATTGTATCATCTTGTTTTCCATCACGATTAAAATAATGTTTTAGTTGATTAAGCATCCAAAATGACCAAAATCTAAACATCATAACAGATTTTCATATAAATATTTCTAAATTTTTACTTTTTTATCATTTGAAAAATTTTAAATTCTCCTGGTTTATGTTCAATCACTTGTTTATTACCAATAACCCAACCGTATGGCGGTGATATTGATTGTTTAGCGGTTGCTTCGATTATACCGATAAAAATATTTGATGATGGTAGTGCCATAAGCGATAATCGTATAGAATGTACTCCTCTTGAATAGATTTGATTAACACGAAATAAACCAGAAACAAAATCTGAACCATTATGCTCAGCTACAGACGCATCTCGAGAAAGTTGAATTGGCCCACTCATCTCACTGAATTTTATCTTTGACAATGATAAATGCGATTTAAAAATAAAGCAAGTATAAGATAAAAGAAGAATAATCAGAAGAAATGAAAAACGTTTAAATTCTCTTGAATTGAATAACCAATCAAGTTTAAAGATAAAAGAATAGATCTTTTGGATGATTGATGTAGATTCATTAGTTTGCATGAATTGTGTTTTAAATTTTTCTAACTGCATCATTAGCATATCAAGATCTTTCTCAGAATAACTTTAAAAAGAAACAAAAAATTTTCTCTTATTTAATTTTCTGTGGTATAATTATTGAGTTACGTCGGTCGTTTTTGATATTCATTTATTTGTGATTTGATTTGGTTTATTTCTTTTTCTTGTCTTTGTAATTTCCATTGAATATCATTTATTCTTTGTTTATGATCACGAAAAATTTCGCTAACTAAATTATATTCATGGATAATTTGTTCGAAACGATTGTGAAGTTCATTTGAATGATTTATAGTATGATCTGAACAAAAACTTTGCTGACATCCTAGAAAAATCACAGAATAGATTGAATAAAAAAAGAAACAAGAAATGAATAAAACTGACCATTACAAGTAAATAATCCGTTTGCATTATCTCTTAATTCGCATATAATACAGGACGGTTTAGTTGACATGATAGATCGATATTAATTATTTTTTGAATTAAATATCAATAAATTATGTCTGAAATTTGAAAAGAATTCTATATCAGATCTTAGAGAAATAAAAGTCAAAGCTATAATAGCATTGTTATTTCCATAGATTAAATTTTTCTATTTAAATAATCAAGGCAATTATGAACAGTCAATATTTTACATATGAGTGTCGTGAATATTTTTGCGTTTTTTTGTTTGGATTGTATTGGTCAAATAATCAAAAGTTTTTAGTTTCTCGATAAATACGATTGGAGTTTTTTGGGAAATCTCTGTTATGATCGGTGAATCGATCGGCATATTAATCATCACAGTTATAATAACAATATTGTAGAGAATTTTTTCGATTATAGTTGAGTTGGATGCGATAAGTGTTAAACAAACAATCACTGATTCGAATTGATACTGACTAAAACACATGTGAGTTAACTAAATTCATCTGATATAAAGCGCTGAGGATGTGTATCTGTCACATAAGGGAATCATTCGAAAAAAAAAGCAATATATTTTAGCATGATTACCAAAGATAGTTACCAAGAAATTAAAAGTATTCGAGTTAATATTTTTCTCATAGGTAGTAGATTCGTAGACTAGAAAACACCAAAGGGGATACAGGCGCAAGTTGTGATTTGACTGAAATATCGAATTTTCATCGAAGTAATGCTACATGATATCAGATTTACACCCGCAACTTTGCTCACATAAAGTTTTCATTTACACTGGCTGTTGAAGAACTAATATCTGAAAGTGAATCTGCCAAAAATGGTCTGATTTTATACACAAATTCATCTAATTGAAAGATTTATGTAGACAAAGTTTCAGGTTGAAAACTCGACTTCAGTAGAACAACTCTGGTGAAAATTCAATATCTCAGCTAGACCACAACTTGTACGTCTGAATTCTCTTTGAGTTTTTTCTAAACTAAATATTCTCTAATTATCGATAAGAGTTTTAGTTTAAAAGCTTTTAATCACATAGAGATGTTTCCTTATTAGATCTTTCAATGATACTATTGAAGCTTCATCCGGTAATAGATAATGAATAAAATCATATGCCAAAAAGATACGACAAAGACATGCGTAAGCAGTAAAATTTTCCACAAAAACATCGCGAATTTACGTATCGAGAGGGAATTCCGAAAGTCAAAATGAAAAAGAAACATGAATATCTTTTTCCCAATTCAGTTGAATTACATAAGGATTTCATGATTTATTTGGACGCTTGTTAAAGAGTTTCACTTCGTATAGTTTTATTTGTATTCCCGATCCAAAGTAATCTCATGAATCTAACAAAATATTCAAGTCTATTGTTTTCAAATATGTTAACAGAAAAAAAGATATTACATAGAGTTTTGCTTGTCAACTCTGATCGTCATTTTGAATTCATCATTCGTAAGCATCTCACAAACCTTATGTTACATATGTATATTTTCATAGGACATATTCAAATTGCACGACGTTCGATAAATATGAAATTCATTGAACTAGACTTCCTCTTAGAATACACATGTTTGAGAAATATATTCTCCAGAAACTAATGTATTTCACTGTTGATATTCGAAGAAGTTCTAATTTGTTTTAACATTTTTTGAGCTCTGTATTAAGTTCAATGCATTTCTGAACAGACCTTGTCAATCGCTTAAACATAACATCAACTTCGTCAATCTCTTTGCATCTATTATTACTGTAGAACTTATATAACATGATCGCATTACTTCACTATCAGCTTCAACAAAGCGTTGCAAGAAAACTTCAAGTATACACACCCCTCTCTATTTGATCGGTTCTAGTTCTTGAAAACGGTGCAGTCGATCAAGCTGAAGTTTTTATATAATTGGATTGAAATTTTCACTACTGACACTTGCAAGTATTCTCCAGAGATAAAATCGATAGTTTCCGTTCTTGATTTCCTACTCGGATTCATAGGTTCCTAGAAGCCAAGACCTCGGTTTCGGCACCGAACATTTACAGATTTCTCACATAAAAATAAGTAAAAGTGAGATTTGTAGAAAAGCTTATAATAATGTCTGAGTTATATTATTCGGTATTTAAAAAAAATATTTTTAATCGAAGAGGATAAAGTTTTATTGGGGTTACAGTGTACCAGGATGTAACCCTATGAAAACCAGGATTTTCCAGAAAAAAAACACAAAAATCCACTTCAGAATGTTTTTTCGCGAACAATGTATACTTATTTTTTGTTATCGATCTGTGGTAAAAACGTCAGCTTGATCGATTATACTGTCTTTGAGAACGCGACACGGTCAAAAACAGAGGCATAATGTCTTTTCTTCGTTTGGAAATTATGAAATACTCCCTAGGTTTTGGTCGCCGCAGTATCTCAATTTGCATTTCTAACAATTAATGAATGATATAAAAAAAAGAAATTCATTCTCTCAAGTAAGGAGGGCACACACAGTTAATAATAACAAACATATTATCTAAAAAATTATGAAAATAAGATGTATCGAAAATTCCTCTTGTCAAAATGATTGTTACAATATCACTTATTATTTTGTTGTTTTTTTGTATTAAATTAACGTAAAAAAACGAGAAAACGATTTTAATGATATTGTTTCAAGAAAGACTGGATTATCAGCTTATAATGGAGCAAAACAATCACACAAGTGCAATACTTTTACAAGAAAAATAGGAATCTATCTCAGAATATTTGTCTTGATTAGGATAAAAGAAAAAATAGTAAGTTAGTCCTCATTCCATCCACCACGTACATAATTTGGATCATATCTAATGCCATTTCGTTCTAATAAAGCTTTAAATTCGGTTGGATTATGCCGCTCTAACTCTTGTTGATATCGAAGTTCACCTAAAAATAAAAGGAAAAAAAACTATTTAAAATCAAAAAACAAAAATTCTTGTTGTTCAAACCAGGTTCCCAAAGTGTTCCATTCATTCGAGCTCTTTGTTTTAAATCTTTACCATTATGACCTTGTTCTCTTGTTCTCCAATTCCACCAAATTCCACATTTAGCACATTCAATGACATTACATAAACCTTTTTCTTTCAACGTTAAATGACGGCATGTTGGACATTCACGTATTTGTCCTGACTGAATCATTTGTTTGAAAGCTAAAATTGTTTTTTTTATGTGAAATAATAAGTTCATGAATGAAATAAAAGGAAAAAAAAGAGATGTACATACTTATATCAAGATCTCCGTCCGATCCCTTTTCAATTGTTTGTTCAACATTACATATTTGACATGTAACTTCTTGTTTTTTTGATGGACCAAGTTGAAGAAAACCACCTTGCTCACATTGAATACATGTAATAAAATTTTCGTTGCGAGACAATTTTTTTAACATATATGTTGTTATAAATGATAGAAGTTCGGAATGTGTTAAACGACCATCTTCAATGATATTTTTAGCATCACATGGAACACTACATATTTCTGCAGGACATGGAATCCATGGAAGAAGATCTCCATCACGAATACGCATTGATAAATACTGATGAAAATCATCTGGACATATCATACGATGACCACAAGCCTATTTTGATACAGACAATTGAAACAAATGAAAAATATTTTATTTCTGATATCTCTACTTGAATAAAGGAGCGAATATCCATAGGTTCCTGTTTATTTTTGACGTGATATATTTTATCAGGTGTCTCAAAAGTTTCTTCGTAATTTTTTTTTCGTTTTAGTTCACTAGTGACTAGATTTTTTTGAGTAAGCTTTCTACGGATAATAGAAAAACACACAGAGTTTTTATTCCTAACGATAAAATTCAAAAGCATTGTGAGAAAGCTAAGATCTTCATCTAAAATACAAAATTTTAGCCTATTTTCTTTTTCTAGAAAAACATTACATATCATTCGGGAAATCCCATTGGAAGTCAACCAGAAAAAACACAGAGTATTGAGAATTTTGTTTTTCATATCAAACTTTGTAGAGCTTTTTACGCTGATCATTTTCGTAAAAAGACTTTTCTAATTTCAATGAATAATGACGATGCTATAGTCGAAATATTAAACACTGTAAAAATCACATTTTAAGCTGTTTTATAGTGTTTAGTATTTTATCAATAACATCGTCATTATTCAATGAAATCAGAAAAGTCTTTTTTACAAAAATGATCAGCGTAAAAGCTCTACATAGTTTGATATAAAAAACAAAATTCTGAATACTCTGTGATTTTCTAGTTGACTTTGCACGTAACTACCCATCTCTTTTTTAATTACTTCGAGCTATCGAGTGATTCAGAGGTTTAAATTGCCCAATGCTTGAACGGTCTTTTTGCAGAATTTTGTTTTGGTACGTCTTTACGAAAACGAAATGAGTAATACGAAATCAAAAGTCAAGC